ACAAAGGCAAACACCAATCACATAAAATAAAAATAAATTATTAGAAAGAGTAAGTGTGGTGACAGAAAATATTTAACATAACTGTTTAAGAAGATATATATCTAGGCTTCTTTCTAGGTGACTCAGTGACTCTTCTTATTTCTTCTAGAAAGATAGAACTGATCCTGTTTTGTGATACCTTTAGAATAGGAACACTCTCCTCTGATGGCCCTCTTATTGTCACTGTAGGGGTTCATGTCCACTGTCTTATCTTTATTGGCTTATGTATGCTCAGTAAAATGCCAACAACAAATTAGATCTGTAGATTCTGATCCTTATTGTCTCACCGTACAAAGACTCAGATGCTATCAAGAAGCAGGTGAGTTTGGTGTGTGACACATGCCTATAATCCCAGAAGTTGGGAGGCAGAGAAAGGCAGATCTCTATGATCTAAGACCAGACTGACCTACATACGAGTTCCAGGCCAGCCAGGAATTCATTGAGAAATCCTGTCTCAACACACAGATGAAGTTTGCAGTTGCCTCTCTCTAAATCCAGCATAGCCTTTTGCTCACTGAGCTCAAGCAGAAGGAGAGTAAGCAAGGTCTCAATAGCAGACTATCTGAAAAGCCACCGGTGGGAAAGCACCCAACAACTAGCTATAGACACTACTAGCTCGAGTATGCCCTCTTCTGGCAAGGGGAGGAAAGCTCATCGTTTCAAGCCTGACAGTGAGGCTTGGAAATAGCCTCTTGTGAGAGTAGACCACAAGTCCCCGGAACTTGAAAACACCCTTCAAGTGTCTGCTGTGCAAAATAGCTCAGGATTTCAAAATACATCTGCATTTATCTATTGGTCCTTTGAAGGAGGCAATAAAGACCTATCTGGTTAGCATTTTTGAAGATATCAACCTGTGTGCTATTTATGCCAAATGTTTAACAATTTACCTAAAAATATCCAGGTTGTATGACTTATACATGGAAAACACACAAATCCACTATGAGGGGAAACACTTCATTCTCAGAATTACTAGTAGACAACTAGGGGACAGAAATCAGTTATTGGTATTGGTTTCTATTTTCATTTGTATGTGAATTTTTAATAAACATAAATGATAAAGCATTAATACAAGTCAAAATATTTCAGTAAACAAGTTTCAACAGTTCAACTTTTGTAATAATTATAAATTAACCTGTAAAAATTACCTAGACATAGCTACATATTTTTTTAAATATAGTTAAATTTCTTATTGATGTCAAGAGGAATAGGAAAAGAGGTAAGACACTTCTTTACCTGCATGCAACTTCTAGCACCTTTCACGGCATCAAAAAGGTCATTGGTTGTTGGCACTGATTCGTTCTTGCCATTCCCACTAGGTACTATTCGGGACTGTTTCTTCCGATGTTTTGCTGCCTATTAAGTGTAAAAGTATTATCTGTACAAAAGCTGTAAAAATGACGCTAACATTTGATTTCATCATTATCACTTTAGGTAGCCTTAAGCTGCCAATTCCACACCAATGCTTCCATTATTGTCTCAGAGCTTAAGTAACTGACCTTTTTTACGGTTGTGAGATTTATTATTAACCTTTTCTCTTTTTAAAGAATCCTGGTACCTCTCTATCCTAATGTTCTCTCTTCTTCCATTCCATCACCTGAGTCTCTTCCATGTTTTTCTTTGCTGATTCTCAGACTAGATTCTGAATTAAACAAAATGGCAGACTCACTGGGGCAGCTTTTGGTGGTCGCTTTGCTGCTCTCTTCTTCACATTCCGTCTCAAGCTGTCTTCAAAGTCACTGTCTTCATTAGTTGAGGGACTATCCCTATAAAGAGAATGTGATTTCCCTTAAGCATCATCCCATTCCCTCCACATAAAGAGTTCATTATAATTTCTATTTATCTCTAACTGTGCCACATCTACATGAGAAAAACATTCAAATTTTAAGAGATACTGAAAAAGAAAAGTCACTTTAAAGCAGTAGAAAAGAAAAATGAGGAACTAAAAGCAGGTGAAACGGCTCAGCAAGTAGCAACACTTTTCACCAAAGCCTGATGACCAGAATTCAACTCCCAGAATCATATGGTAGAAATAGAGAACTGACTCCTGAAAGCTATCCTCTAACTTCCATGTATGTTTGTGGCAGGCACATATGTATATACACATAATTAAATGTACTATTTTTTTTAAAAAAATGTGGAACTAAAACCGGTGAATAAGACAACTGATATTCACAGTTGATATTCATAGTATTCTGTGTGCAGAAAAATCAGCATGGCTCAGGAAATAATTCATCACTCATAAGTAGATTAGTATGTACCTGGAATTACAGTTCACCCTTGACACTTAACCTTCATCTTAGTGATTCAAGTTTATAGTGCTGAGATAATCTAGTCTTCAATAATAGCACTGGCAGAAACAGGAATGATTAGAGAAGGCCAATTAAAATAAATGGGATGAAGATAATGGTATGTGAGATTACTTTTTTCCTAGAATGATTATAAAACATGATAAGCTATTACAATATTCATAGAATAAACTCATAGAGCTGCAACAGATAAGGATCATGGATCTGTTTTAAGAATCTGAAACGGATCTGTAGGATGCCAACTAAAAGATACCTACAAAATTTCAAGCAACAAATAAAGCATTATTTAGAGTGTCTCACAGTCCCTACGTCCACCAGCAGTGCTAAGCATTATTGCATGTTCAAGATAGGTTTAGGTAGCAAGATAAATTCAAAACTAGAGCAGTACTCTATTCTGTTTTCAGGGTCTTGCTATGTCACTCAGGCTGGCCGTTTTGCAAATGATGTACTATTCTTGATGTTTGTAAGATATAAGGCAGCCAAGAAACAACAGAGCTAGGAGGCGTTGGTTCTCCAATCTGAACCAGTATAGCATTTCTTCCTCCCTTTCTTCTCCCTTCCCCTTTTCTACCTTCCATTTTTGTTTGGTTGGTTTACTTTTATTTAGTTTCAGAGCAGAGTCTCATGCAGTCCAGGCTGGCTTGAAGTCACTATGTAGCTGTCCTTAACCCTCTTGATCCTCCCACTTCTTCATCCTAAATTCTGGGACTACAGGTGTGTGCCACCATATCCAGCTTTAGGAATAGCATTTCTGACACTGTCATACAGCCCCACATATATTATAACCAAGCTAGAAAACAACAGAGAGAAAAGCTTCTGAGGATACAGAAGGGACTCCCAAGTTCAACCATCTCTCACCAACTGAACTCACCAGTCTGCAGTTCCCTGTGAGTCTCTGTCATCACAGGGTAGGACGGTGGAGGAACAAGGAGACAAGGCCATCTGTGCACGTCTCACAGACTTTCGGAGTGGGGAGGACACACTGCCTGAGGAAGAGCCATGGTACTGGGTGGAGGGTGACCACAGAGTAGGCATGTTAATCCAGCTGTAGGAAAAAAAAAAAGAAAAGAAAAGAAAGAGTTGCTACTACTACTATACCCCTTTCATCTGTCTCTCCCACCATGTGGTCTTAGTATTATGGGTTAGGGCACCAAAACCAATAGTCAACCTGACCACATTGAGGTATTATGGTCACTACTGCCTTAAGGGCTGGAAAACAGAAACCTGAAACTAGGGGTGATGGTGTAGGCCTGTAATCGCAGCTACCTGGGAGGCTGAGGCAGGATGTTCATCAAATTCAAAGCCAGCCTGGAATTCCAGAGTAGCCTGGGCAACTTAGTGAGACCTTATTCAAAATAAAGTGAAAAAGAGGCCTAGGGGTTATAGTTGAGCAATAGAAGGTTTATGTAACATGTTCCAAGACTCGGCAGTAACAATCTTCAGTATGGGTAAATAAATTAAGGCCATAGGGCCTGAGTCCAATCTTCAGTATAGGTAAATTAATTAATTAATTAATTAAAATAGATAAATAAGTAATGCCGGAGCATCTGGGGCCAATCTTCAGTATAGGTAAACAAACATACAAATAAGGCCACAGGGTTTACACACAAAGGAGTTTCTGAGCAGCTTCTGGCACAAATCCCTCTTAGAGGAATCAGAGAGGGGTACACTGGCTGAGCCTTAGCTGCTAAAACTGAACAAAGGACCTCAGATTTCCATCTCTGGAGCTCACTCCCTGGCTCTACAGGAAATGGGGTCTGAAAGTAGAGGCGTCATTTGAGCTAGGCCAGAAACATTCCAGAGTAAAGCGCACATTCTCTACTTCTAGAAAGCGCTATATAAGGTTGACCCCAAGCTTATTTGAGCTGAGGGTGGGAGGGTGTCTTCCGTTTATGGGACTACTTATCTCTCCAGGTCAGAAGATGGGATTTCCAGCCTCCATAGCGAACACGACAGAGCTACAGACCTCGGTGGAGGGACAAGAGGGCAGGAGGGTTGGTATGCCGCCTACGTGCGGGTCCAAAGGGGCAACCTCACTGTTTGAGCTTGGAAGAACGACCTCTAGATGAACACGGTTGAAGAAAGGTCACCACCTCAGAGGTCCTTTCAGGTCTCAGTGGACATCCCACCTCTGACGCGAGACGCCCGCCTGCCGCAGAGCCTCTTCTTCCTCAGGTGGCGGGCGGGTACGTCTTAGAAAAACGCGGGAAGGCACGAGAGACGCCGTGCGCAGGCGCGAGATTAACTGCTCTTCGCGCGGCTGAGAAGCGTCGCGAGACTTGACACAGAGCTCGTGCTAACCACGTTCCTGCTACACAGCACGTTCGCTCGGCTTCGAGCAGCCACCAGGCATGTGGCTTGCACTCCTGTCACGTGGGCTCTAGCGCGTGCGGGTCGCTCCACCCTGGTCACGCCTCCTTTACTCCTATGTGCCCCTCCATTGGCTGAGCGTTTGCTACTGGCTCCTCAATTGCAATAGGCTCAGTTTCACCCAAGCCCCGCCTTTCGAGCAAGAATACCACGCCCCTCCTCAAGACCACACCCCCTACCCCGCCAGCGTCCGCTTTGCGGCCTTTGTCCCGCCCCCTGCCGAGTTGCCGTTCCACATTGGCTTCGCGTTTACCCTGCCCCCGCCCCCGGGGCTGGTTTCTTCTTATCATTGGTGGACTACCTCCTCGGGCCCCGCCCCCTGTCCCGCTCCCCGGCTCCCATTGTCTCCGCAGATGCCTCCTGGTCCGGCTAAGGTGCTGGGGCTGTTCAGTTTTAGGGTTCACGCTCCTATTCTTCTCTTCGAGACGTCCCGCGGCTGAGAACGGGATTCTAGAGTTCCTTGGACTTTTCTTTCCTCCTTAGGACCCACTTTGCCCCATCCCAGGGAGGAGAGCAGCTATGTCTGCGCTGCGACCTCTCCTGCTTTTGCTGCTCCCTCTGTGTCCCGGTCCAGGACCGGGACATGGGAGTGAGGCAAAGGTCGTCCGGAGTTGTGCAGAGACTCGGCAGGTGCTGGGAGCCCGGGGATATAGCTTAAACCTAATCCCTCCCTCCCTCATCTCAGGTGAGAAGAAAGAGGGAAGAGTCAGGGGTGGGAAGGGGCGGGGACGGGTCCTCCCCATCTCACAATAACTCTTTCCTTTTAGTGACCAGTAGGATGATTGTTTCATCTGTTGGGCATCTTTCTTCTCCTCCTATAACTTCCTCACCGGGATCACATTAACCCTGCTGCCCACATAATAGCTCTCATTCAATCCCCACCTAAGGAATTCCCTTCTCTGTAATTAGCACACCCGTTAGTGTCTTTCTAACAGCCAGAAATCGCCTTGCAATTCCTGTGAGCTTCTTTTATGACGATACTTTCTTGCTTACCAAGTAGCCCCACCCCTACAAACCCCGTTCTTCATTCCATAGATGTCCCATAAGTCCCTGGAGGCGTGTGGGGTGTGCAGTGTTGGGGAGGGTTACCTGAAGACTCTCTGGTCACTAATATAGTCCGCAAAGCAGCTGTCCAATAGATGATCCCATTACAAATAGGGGTGAAGCTGAGATGGGTGAGGGACAATGAAGGAGGGTTCAGGTAGGACTGAAGGGGCAAACAAAGGAAAAAGCAACCGGGCAGGTGGAAGACAAAAATCAGCCCCTAGAGATAGGAGAGGGATGAAAGAAAATTCCTAATGTCCCTTCTTGCCATCCAGTACTCCTCCCTGTCTCCTCTGTCCAGGCGAGCACCTTCAAATCTGTCCTCAGGAGTACACCTGCTGTTCCAGTGAGACAGAGCAGAAGTTGATCAGGGATGCTGAGGTTACATTCCGTGGCCTGGTGGAGGACAGTGGCTCCTTCCTGATTCACACGCTGGCTGCCCGGCATAGAAAGTTTAACGGTGAGGACCTTTGAGGGTCCCCAGATGTGCTTCACACCTCTTTATGTTTATGCTTTGCAACCCGTTTCCTTTTCCCACCTCCTGCAGTCATAGGTATCCCACCACCCACCCACCCACCCACCCCAGAACTTCCTGCTTATTTCTGATCGCCACTCCACATTCTCTCCAGGACGCTGCCCTTCCTCGTTCCCAGTCTGCCAGACCTCCGACTTGCTCAGCTTCTAATTCTTTTGCTTCTTCTTTTCCTCATTCCCTCCTGCCTCTGCCCTTTCCCTGCTCTCCCTGTCTCTGTTCCCTCTTCTCATCCCTCCACCTTTGTTAGAGTTTTTTCGGGAGATGCTGTCTATATCCCAGCATTCTTTGGCCCAGCTCTTCTCGCATTCCTATGGTCGCCTGTATTCCCAGCACGCCGTCATCTTCAATAGCCTGTTCTCCGGCCTGCGGGACTACTATGAGAAGTCTGGTGAGGGGTTAGATGACACCTTGGCGGACTTCTGGGCACAGCTCCTGGAGAGAGCCTTCCCTTTGCTGCACCCACAATACAGTTTCCCTCCTGACTTCCTGCTCTGCCTTACTCGGCTTACTTCAACTGCTGATGGCTCTCTGCAGCCCTTCGGGGACTCACCCCGCCGCCTCCGCCTACAGGTGAGGAGGCCCCACAACCTGAGCTTCAGCAACCTCTGATCTGTCATCTCAAAGATAATCACCCCCTTTTGTGCCCATGTAACCTCTGACCTCATGGCCTGCATCCTTGCCTTGTCTGACTCGGTGATCCTCATCTCAAGCCTTGGTCACCTATGCCTGACCAGTGGCCCTTGGTCTCCTTTAACTACATTCTTTGCCCTGCTTTTACATACACACTTGGCCCTCCAACCCCAGCTACTTTCCTCCGACACCTCTCTAGTCCTAACGTGGTGACCTGTGGTTCAACTAAATAAGAATTGGGCACCAAAGTTGGGAATCATTTTCACTTACAGTACCACATTGAATTGTCACCATAATTGTTTGAGTTAAATAAGAGCACCCTGATTTTACAGAGGAGGAAAATGGGGTTACCAAGCAACTCTCAGAGCCAATAAGGACTGATGCAGGAGTTCACACCCTCAGCCTCCTAACTTTAGGTTCAATGTTCTGTTACACAGTCTACTGTACCAGCTCTTTCCAAACACCCAACCCTTCTAGACCACATGTAATTCCTTTGGCCCTATTGAATCCCCCTCGCTATGTCACCCAGCAGTGTACCCACCTCAAGTTAACCCCACAACCTCAACCTCCTTCCGTCTCTCACTCCAGTCTTGACTAACTGATCACTTTTGTGGTTTTTTTTCCCTCATCTTCTTTTCCTCCAGATAACCAGGGCACTGGTGGCAGCCCGGGCCTTGGTCCAGGGTCTGGAGACTGGAAGAAGTGTGGTCAGCGAAGCACTTAAGGTTAGAGGGGACCTGACTATGGATAGAGCCCAGGGAGTGAAGAAGACAGGCACCAGCTGGCAGGAGAGGCCTAGAGCTGTCCCTTATCTGTTTCTGGGCTCTGGTGTTCCAGTGTCAGACCTCCCCAGGGTGTCTGACATGATCTCCTGTGACTTCTCGTCCTCCCTCTGGTGACCCACATGCCTTTTGCTGGTCTTTCTATAACAGTGCAAGATTAGAGTGAACTCCTCAGTACCCCCTCCCTCCTCCCTGCTGCTGAAGATCTCTCTTCATCACTGGTCCTGTCTCCAGCCTCACCTCCTGCCTCCTTCCTCTCTCCTCAGCCTGGGCTCACTCTTATCCCTGAATCTTTCCTTACCACCTCCTCCTCAGTCACACCCTAGTCAAACCCCTCTCATGAAGCAGAATCAGCAACCTTTTCTCTAGGTACCCCCCCCCCCGTCAGCCCTGTAGCAGTCCTGTGGTATCACCGGGTGCCACATGGGGTCACCAGCCACAGTCACGCTCACATCTAGCTTCCAACAGATAGCCTGGGGAGGTGGGTCAGCATCTTTGACCTCTCTGTGCTCAGCACTAGGTTTGCTAAGAACAGCCTGGGTGTCCATGAATGGCCAGACCCATTTTCTGCCCACAGGTACCTGTGTTGGAAGGCTGCAGACAGGCCCTGATGCGTCTGATTGGCTGCCCACTTTGTCGGGGAGTACCTTCACTTATGCCCTGTCGGGGCTTCTGCCTCAATGTAGCCCATGGCTGCCTCAGCAGCAGGGGACTGGAGCCTGAATGGGGTGGATATCTGGGTGAGGGGGCTCAAGAAAGTCCTAGATTGAGGAGGACCCTGAGTAAGGTTAGGGGCCATTTGGGGAAGGAGAGGGTGGCCTAAAATCAAACTAGGGGAAGAACGGGGACTGGGGGGGGAGGTTTCTCATGTGGTCACACAGCCCACCTACAAGCAAACAAAGTGCTCTTTCCTTTCAAGGCCCTAGTGATATGCGTGGGAACATACTAAGTCAGTGCTGTTCCCTACTGTATATCCCCTTTCTCTTTCTCCCCTCCCTCAAGATGGTCTCCTGCTGCTGGCTGAGAAACTCCAGGGACCCTTTTCCTTTGAGCTGGCTGCTGAGTCCATTGGGGTGAAGATCTCAGAAGGTTTGATGCACTTGCAGGAAAACAGTGTAAAGGTGTCAGCCAAGGTATAGAGAGGGAAGGGTGGAGGTGAGCTGTGGCTGTCAGAAACAATAGGGCATATGGGGGCAGGACACTGTGATTTGCTTCAGAGCGACTGTTGATGTCTTTCCCTGTACATAGGTGTTTCAGGAATGTGGGACCCCCCATCCGGTGCAGTCCCGTAACCGGCGAGCACCAGCACCCCGAGAAGAGGCTAGCCGCTCTTGGAGGGCATCAGCTGAGGAAGAAAGGCCCACAACAGCGGCAGGCACTAATCTGCACCGTCTGGTTAGTAGTGGAGCAGCCGTGGTGGTGGGTGTGGCGAGACAGCTGCTCAGAAGTGCTGCAGCTTTGTTTTCTGTCGCGCAGGTTTGGGAGCTCCGGGAGAGACTTAGCCGAGTGCGGGGCTTCTGGGCTGGACTGCCAGTAACGGTGTGCGGGGACTCCCGAATGGCGGCAGATGTCTCACAGGAGGCGGCACCCTGCTGGACTGGTGTTGGGAGAGGCCGGTGAGTGTGGGGCTCTGGCGGCTCAGGAAGTCTGGAAGGAGGGAAGGCTGCACCAGGAGCTCTCGGGGTGCTGTGCTCTCAGGTATATGTCGCCGGTGGTCGTGGGCTCCTTGAACGAGCAGCTCCACAACCCGGAGTTGGATACTTCGAGTCCGGATGTCCCGACGCGGCGGCGGAGGCTACATCTCCGAGCAGCTACTGCTCGAATGAAGGCGGCTGCACTGGGTCAGGACCTTGACATGCGCGATGCAGGTGAGGCTCAGAAACCCACCCTGCAAGGCCTCTTGACCCAGGTCCTGGACCATTGCTTCTCAAGTCCCGCCCACTATCCTCAATCTGATAAGAGCCAGCTCTGGAGCCCAGTCCACTGCCTCACAAGTCCCATCCCGCTCTTGGAACAGAGCATCATTGCTCCTTGACACCACCCCCACTGTACTTCCACTCCTGCCCATCCCCCTTTGAGTCCCACACATTGCCCCACTAGCCACCCTCCCTCCCCCTGCCCCTTGCCCCACATTAATTAGCTTCATTTATTTCTATTCATTTAAGCCTTAAGTGCCTGTCTCAAAGGTCTCAGTCCTTGGTTGTAGTGGGAGACACAAACATTCCTACAGAGAACACTGAGGAAACTTATTGTAAAGGGCAGAACTGGGGGCAGGGAAGCTAGCTGTGGTGTCACTGGCCTGCCCCACCTCCACCCCACCCCCCATCCGTGAAATTGGCCAAAAAGAGAAACAAGCACATTCACCCTTTCTTGTGTTGGATACTCTCAACTCCTCCTCCCTCCCCCATTCCTGTTTCTTGTCTGCCTGCTTTCCCCATCGACGCTTTTTTTTTCTTTTTTCTGCTCTGTCTTTTCCTGTCTCCTTGCCTTCTCCCATCTCCTTGTCTGGTATGTGATTATGTGTTTCCTCCCTGGTATTCCTGTTGTCGCTCACAGTTTGTGTGTCCTTCTCTGGCCTTTCTTAGTCTCTTTTTTGTATATTAATTATACAGAGTAATGGATTTCATTTTGACATTTTCATGCATGGCTGAATATATAAAAACATGCTTATGGTTTATCGCAGTTCCCTTCCGTTTGGAATCTCTTCCTTTCTACCCTCTCACTCCCATCCTCTCCATCTGTACAGATGAAGATGCCAGTGGCTCCGGAGGGGGGCAGCAGTACGCAGACGACTGGAAAGCTGGAGCAGTGCCTGTGGTTCCCCCAGCCAGGCCTCCAAGGCCACCTCGTCCTCCTCGAAGGGATGGTCTTGGAGTGAGAGGAGGAAGTGGCAGTGCCAGATACAACCAGGGCCGAAGCAGGAATCTGGGGTCACCTGTTGGCCTCCATACCCCACTTGTCCTCATCCTCCTCCCCTCAGCTCTGACTCTGCTTGGACTTCGATAACGAGGGAGGGGTGCCCTAGCATCAGAAGGCTTAGTGGTCCTTTTCCTTCCACCTCATCAGCTGGGCATGAGGAGGAGTGGAAGGGGGCTACAGAGAGGGCAGTAAGGGACTTTGTGGGTGAATGGCTGGGGCCCCAAATCCAGGATTTTCCAATTAGTGGGGTGGGAGGTAGATGGGTGTTCATAATATTTATTTTTTCATTTGGAAACTGGGGATATTTATTTAGGAAGGGAGTATGGTTCAGCTCTTAAGGTGTAGGGCTCACTGATGCAAAAGGCAGGGGGTGGGGGTTGGGAAGTGGGGTTGAAGGAACTTGGAAGTGGGGAGGGATGGTACTATTGGCATGGGGGTACCTGGTATTGAAAATGGACAAATAAACTAGCTGAGAGTGACGTCTCTTGCCTGTAAACCCATTATTATTTTGGAGGCTGAGGCAGGAGGATTGAGAATTGGAAACTAATAAAGCTAGGTGCTGACAGTTGAGGGGGGTGGTTAAAGGGGTAGGGGGTAGGACCTGAGTTGTATTGGCTCTTTTAAAATCATCTGTTTCTTAAGTATGGGGGGAGACCCATCTTGTGACCTTTGCCATCCACATCCTTCACAAGCTTCCTCTTCAGTGTTCACATCACTGTTTATTGGTAAATAAATAATTTATTGGACCATGTGTATGGCTCTCTCTCTTTCGTGTGTGTGTGTGTGTGTGTGCTCACACAGAGACCAGAGGACATGCCTTGTTATATCTCTTTGTAGTATTCCCTGGAGACAGGCATTGTCACTAAACCTGACGCTAAGCTGGCAGCCAGCAAGCTCCAGTGATCCTCTTACCCTCCCATATCACTGGAATTACAGGGAAGATGCCCTTGTGACCAAGCCCAGGGTCTTCGCATGGTTGTAAGGGATTTGAACTTGGGTCCTCATGCGTGTGCAGCAAGTGCTTTTCCTCCAGTCTACTTTCCCCTGGGCTTCTGTAACTGGCTCAATTTCAACCTGAATCTTGCCTCTTGGAGTCTGTCCCTTGGGAGCAAGCAGCCCTAAAGAACAACCCCGTATTTCCCAAGCCTGAGGAATGAGTATCTTAATATATTAAAAAACAATTTGGAGATCAAACAAATTACATGAGGAAGTACCTATAAAATGTGCAGAACAGCAGGCCTACGTAGATTACACACCACTGCTCCTGCCTTCAGGGGAAGGGCTGCTCTTCTTGGCAGCCTCTCTGTCTCTCTCCCAGTCTCTTCACCTGAATAAATCTCTTGTTTTGTGGAAAGCCAAAAGAAAAAGATGTAATTGATTCCTACTTGAAAGGAGGGTAGAAGTGGCATCTTTCAAAGGCAGGCTAGGAGAACTTTCCCCAGCGGACTGGTAAAGAGCCAGGGAGGGGAGAGACCCAGAGAGACCGACAGATCAATGCCCAAGCAAGCTAGTGGCTGCTTGGACTGGCGGGACAAAGGGAGGGGAGGGGGAGGAGTCTGGGTGCTGAGAAAAGTTTGTGGGGCTAGTTGATCCAAGGAGCCGGGCGGTGGCTGGGGAGCCTGACCTGGTTTTTCCGACTGCTCTCCTCATGGCCTGGTGAGTGCCTAGAGAAGCTGAGGCTGGAACCAGTGGAGGGACCTTTGAATTTCTGGAAGGAGACTTGAGGGGTTCACAGAAGACCCTTAACAAAGGGCTGGAGACAGATGCCGCACTCACCAAAGCTGCAGAGGGAAAGCTGGGATGCGGGTAATGAGAGGAGCTCGAGGTGGATGAGAGGAAATCGAGTTTAGTTCTGGATAGAGGAGTGAGTTCTCGGCTGAATCCTAGGGGCTGTGCTCCGGGGAGGGAGCTAGGGGTAATGCCAGAAGGAGGCGGACCTCTCTGGATAGCAAGTTTGGATTCTTTCCGTTTGGGATCAGCCTGGCTAGTTCATGGAAGGAGGCTGTTTAAGCATGTTGGAAGGACCTTGATCTTTGATTACAGGGTATGATCTGAAAAGATGGAGTTACACTCCAAGTTGGTCAGGAAGCTTAAGGCTGGGGAGAGAAGAATCAATCAATCAAACTCCCCTTACTTTCTGCTTGCTGACTGCGCTGATAGATAGGATTACAAAGTGGGATGGGGTATATGTATATGGAGACCCAAATCTCCATCAGCCCCTTTTAGACCTTAGGGTCTTCTTGTGCTGAGTGGGTAGCAGCCTTGCCAGCAGGTACAGTGTCTCGACAGGCACTCCTCTAAGTGCACTGCTCCCGTTCCTCCTGGGTTACCCAACCTGTCCCTATCTGGTCCTCCATTCCTTCCTAAGGTTTCTCCCTATACTAGCTACAGAAGGAGGGAGGTTCTTCATTCCTATTTGTGATTGACAGAGGGACTCAGAGGGCAGCCAGAACCACGAGCCAACAGGTTCAATCTCATTTGCTACCTGTTTCATTTGAGATCTGGGTCCTGGTTTTATTTCCTTCCCTGTTACATGTCCTTAAAGAGGAGTGAAGAGCTAGGAAGTAGCAGTAGACAAACAAGGTTGGCAACAAAAGGAATAGATGCCAGGTTATCTACAAGGTCTGGTGCAAGGAATGTGCACATACATACACACATACACACACACACACACACACACACACACACGCCCCCATACCAGGCTACTCCCCATCCCTGCCTCAGGTCTCAGTGGCAGAAGAAAAGCTTCTTAGACTCTTCTCCTTCCCCCTCATTTCCCTTCTAGACGCTGACAGAGGCAAAAATCTGCTAACTCAGGGGGCAGACTCAACCAGGGCAGCAAGGAGGCACGGGGAATGATCCCCTGATCTCCAAAAGGTGCCTTCGACAGCTGTACAGCCAACTCCAGCTCTCTCTGCCACCCATGGCTCTTGGCCCTGCCTCTGTCCCTGTTTAATGTCACTTCCCTTGTGACACATGGGCCCTCTGTCTCCTGCCAGGACCATGAGGCTCTGGAGGCCTCGGAGCCTGGGGGTGGCTCTGGGAGTCTTCATGACCATTGGATTTGGCCTCCAGTTCCTGGGGGGATCATTCCAGAGGAGGTGAGTCCCTATCCTGTCCTACTTCTCTGACTATAGTCCCTCCTCTCACCCTCCCTGCAACCTCTCTTCCTTGATCCGACCTGGGGATGTGACTCTAGGGGGTAAATCCTCAGGTGGGGGTGGGCATTCCTACTGTCTATTCATTACAAGGACCCACCTGTTCCACATAATGCTAAGGGGCAGGATAGCATTTCCCTCCCTATCTTTTTTTCCAGGCTACCTGGACTGCAGCTCCGACAGTCCTGGATCCCTTCACTGGGACCAACTGTTAAGTCTTGCCTACCCCGGCAGCGACTTGTGTTCTTGAAGACACACAAATCTGGGAGCAGCTCTGTTCTCAATCTCCTTCATCGATACGGGGACCAGCAGGGGCTACGTTTTGCCCTGCCTGCCCACTACCAGTTTGGCTACCCAAAGCTTTTCCAGGCTTCTAAGGTCAAAGGCTACCATCCCCAGAGTTCGGATACCCAGAAGCCTTTCCATATCCTCTGCCATCACATGAGATTCAACCTGAAAGAGGTGAGGAGGTACAGTGAGGGTAGACTAGGAAAGAGATCTCCTCAGGCTTATGGTCAAGATCTATCTGTAAGAGAAGGGTTCCATGCCTTGGTGTGAGGGTTCACACCCAAGTTGGCATAAAGGTGAGGTCTCCTACTGTTCTTTCTACAAATGTGCTTTCTCTGGGGCAGGTGTAGTGTTGGGAGCCAGAGTCTTCTCTCAAATGAGATTTGTGTGTGGAGGGTACATGTGCTTGTGGAGGCCAGAGGTCAATCCCATGTGTGTTTCTCATTCATTCGTCATCTTAGTTTTTGAGACAGGGTCTCTCACTGAACCTGGAACTTGCTCATTCAGCTAGACTGACCTGGCTAGTGAGCCCCTAGGATCCTGTCCCCATCTCCCTAGTTATGTATAAGTGCCACATTTGAGACTTCTTATCAGTTCTGTGTTAAACTCTCAACAAAATACAGAATAGTTAGACATTTAGAATCCCAGAACTGGAGAAGTTGAGACAGGAGGCAACTGGAGGTCAACAAGGGATGTAGCACAGTTGATAGAGTTCTTGTCTAGCATGCAAAAAGCCCTGGGCTCAATTCTTAGTACCACATAAACCAAGTGTGGTAGTACATTCTTTTAATCCCATCACTCAGGAGGGCAGAAGGATCAAGAGTTCAAGGCCAGCCTCAGCTACACAGTCAGTTCAAAGTCAGTCTAGAATACAAAATACCTTGTTTTAAAAAAAGAAATTAAAAACAAAATAGTTGAAGGCCAGGCTGAGCTGCCTGATCAGACCTGTCTCACAAACAAACAACAAAAAGAGACCCCAGTTCTGACCCCCAGAAGAAACTTCTTAGGGGAGAAATTGCACATTCTCTCACAAGCTTAAACTGGTGACACTTGTCTGAAAGAAAGGAAAGCACATTAGCACTGGGTGTGGTGGCTCACACTATAATCCTAGCTTCATGAGGGATAAGGAGCACTTGGAAGGAGAAAGAGAAAGATTGATGTGGTGGGTAAGGAACTCAAAGGAAAGATCAGATGGGGGTTTCCAAGTCAAAACTTATTACACATTCAGCTTTCTCATGTGTGTGTGTGTGTGTGTGTTTGTTGTGGTGTTGTGTCCCCCTCAGTCTGTGTTTGTATTTGATCTCATGAGGTTCAGACTAGCTTCAAACCTACTAGGTAACTGAGGATGACCTTGAAGTCCTGATGCTCTTGCCTCCGTCTTCTGAGTGCTGGGTACAGGTATGCACCACCACTGCTAGTTTATGAAGTGAAGGGGATGAGACCCAGAGCTTTGTGCATGCTAGATAAGCACTCTACAAAGTGAGCTAGTTCTCCAGCTTGTACATTCTTTTGGGGGTGAGGGGAAAGTCACCATTATGAGCACAGAATGTCCTAGAACTTATAGCAATACTGTTATATCAGTCTCTCAGAGTGCTAGAATCACAGGTATGAACCACAATGCTCAGCAAACATCAGACATTCTTGGTGATTTTTTTCTTGTTTGCTTTTAGTGAAGTACTGGGGATTGAGCCCAGGGTGCTCCCACACATTCTACGCAAGCACTGTACCACTGACCTATATCCCCAGCACAGACTGGGTATGCTTAGAGGAAGCAAACCATCACACAGTATAGAGTATTGCAGTGAATAGCCAACTGCCAAAACATTTTATTTTGAAATAGGCTGCTACGTACCCTGGGCTTTCCTTAAATTCTCAGCTATCCTCTTTTCTTGGGATTACAGATATGAGCTACCAAACCCAGCACACCCTTGTTGAAGGCAGAGCAGGAGACAGCTGAGGATTGAGGATTATGTTAGGGGCAACAAGAGGCCACTGTTGAAATATTGAGGGGCAACTGTCAAGTTTGGGATAATGACAAGGATCACTGAACTAAGTTCCTCTAACAGCTGAGAGATGACCTTCTTGTCACCACCACTAACTACCTATTATGTTCCAGGCACTTTCACATTCTTCCAGATATACTGATCCAGACCTACAGTATAAGAAATGAAGGTTCTAATAACATCAGTGAAACGCCAAAGTCATACAAGTAACAAATTGAAGAACTGTGAAGTTCAAAGGCTCTGCCCTATGGGCATGCCCATATTAGTGAAGAAAATGAAAAAAAGATCAGTAAAGGATAGGTACTTTAAAAAAAAAATCTTACGTGTGCAGGACGTTTGCGTGTTCCTGTGATACAAGCATGTGTGTGCCGTGGTGCGTGTGTAGAGGTCCAAGGACAAGCTTGCTGCTGGTTTTCACCTTCCACCTCATTTGAGATGGGGGCCTTCTTTGTAGGCGGTGGCCATGTACTCCGGGCTAGCTGGTCTGTGGGCTTCCGAGGATTCAATTGTCTCCCCCTCCCATCTCACCATTGCTGATTACAGAAGCATGCTGTGTCCAGCTTTGTTTAGTGGGTCATGGGGAGCCAAACTCCGGTCCTCACTCTTCACAGCACATTATCCAGAGCCATCTCTCCAGCCAATCATAGCGCCTTTAAAGAAATCAATTGGTTTTTTTTCTCCTCAGTAATTTTTAGTCTGTTCTGTTGTGAATCTCCACTCTTAAATCATCTCTCTGTGAAACGTCATGTTTGTAGTTTCCAGATGCACATAACCCTTTAAATCCTAAATAGGTTCCTATTAGCATTTTGGAGATAGTTCCAAACTTTGTTTTCTTCAGCTCAAGATTTACTCGAGCACATACGAGGAGGCGTGATGTCAGGGTCCTCATTGTCATTCTCTGCCTATAACTTTGAGGCAGGGCCCCTCCCTGAATATGAGGCTAGGTTCTCAGGCTATCTCTGCTGCTACTAGAGGTAGGCTTACAGGCATTTGCAGAGATTCCTGGCTCATTACATGGTTGCTCGAATCTGAATAACAGTTCTCATAAGTGCTGCGTAAAAGATCTTAACCACAGAGCCATCTCTCCACTCCAGGATGGTAATTCTTAAAACTTCCTTACAGACTGGCTTATCACCAAAGAACACCAAGATAGAGAAATGTTAGGTTCCATGATAAAAGTCATTAGCAGAGCAGAAAGCTTCTTAATATATCATGTTAATCAGTCTGCAAAAGCTGTTACAGCCCAACCCAGCCTGATTGTCAAGGTTCCTATTGAGAAATGAGGGCATACACCCCAGACTTCAGTCCTACCGGTTTTTCAGCACCCTTCCTCAATGTCCTACTTCAAGAGTATCTTTTGTTCTCCAAGTTCCTCAGGAGTTCCAGAAGTGCCTTGCACTGCAGCCACCTTGGACTAGCCAGAGAGCACAGCTGTTGCCATTGGCATCCCCCTCCTTCCATCCTGAGGAGCCTCAAGGCCAGTTGCTGTCTTGAAGCTGTGACCAAGAGTGTCCCAGAAAAGACATTTAACAGGTTTCAGTGCTAGCCATGTTGGCACCTGTCTGTAATTGCAATGTTCAGCTGGCTGAGGCAAGAGTTTAAGGTCATGGTGTGCTACAGAAGTGTGAGTCACTCTATGTCAAAAGGAGGCAAGGCTGGGGAGATAAGTAAAACGCTTCCCATGCAACCATCAGGACCTGAATTTCATCCCCAGAAGCCATAGAAAACAGCTGGGCATGGTGGAAGGCTCTTGTGTTCCCAGCACTGAAGAGACTGAGACAGGAGAGTCCCTGAGGCTCTCTGACTAGACAACCTTGCCTAGTTGGTAAGTTCCAGGCCAGTGAAAGATCCTATCTTGAAAACAAAGGTAGACGATGCCTGAGGAAAGGAGGTTCTCTGAGTCCACATGCACAAGTGTACACAGACACTCACACATATACACACATGAACTGAATACAAATAGAATTTCCTTGTAGACGTGAACACAAAATTTGATTCTTAGAGATTTTGAGTGTGGGCCAGTCAGCACCCAGGGTTCTACCTGTCTCTGCCTCCTCAACATTGTGTTTATAGGTGAGCACCACTGTTGTCTGGCTTTTATGTGTGTACTGGGAATATAAACTTGTATTCTCCTGCTTGTGTAGCATACACTTTATTGACTGAGCCATCTCCCAAGCTCTAGGTTTGAGAGTTTTTCCCAACCAACGAAGACAAAAAGACTCAAGGAAATTAATGACCGATATGAGCTTTCTGAGTTCTAGATTTCTGACTAGTTGTTATCTCAAGTATTCTTCTCAATCACCTGGGAACCTCTGACTACTTTCCTTTTGCAGACAAGCAAATTGGATTTCAGAGTTGTTATGTCATCTCCCTAAGGTCACGCAGCTAGGAGGGGAAGCTACGGGTGGACAGCAGAGCCTGAGGGCTCCTCAGAGCCTCAGCTTGTACTCATTTCCTCCTCAGTCATGCTGTTCCTCTCTTTCTTTCCTCTGCAGGTACTTCAGGTCATGCCTTCTGATAGCTTCTTCTTTTCCATTGTCCGAGATCCAGCAGCTCTAGCCCGCTCTGCCTTCTCCTATTACAAATCAGTTTCCTCGGCTTTCCGAAAGGCACCATCTTTGGCCGCCTTCCTGTCCAATCCTCGAGCCTTCTACAGACCCGGGGGCCGTGGCAACCACTATGCACGTAACTTACTATGGTTTGACTTTGGTTTGCCCTTCCCCCCAGAGACAAAGACCATGAGAATGAGTCCTCAGCTACCCAGAGACCCCAAACCCCTCCAGCTATATATTGTACCTTCCAGTGCTAGCCCTGGAACTCTTTTCCGACCTATTACCTCAGCTGCTGATAGTTACAAGCAGCCAGCCAGCCTTGCCTCCTCAGATTTTGGGCCCTCATCCTTTATCCAGTGGGGTCTGGCCTGGTTGGACTCTGTCTTTGACCTGGTCATGGTGGCTGAGTACTTTGATGAGTCATTGGTTCTGTTGGCAGATGCCCTGTGCTGGAGTCTGGATGATGTGGTGGGCTTCATGCACAACGCCCAGGCTGGAAGAGAGCAGAGTGTTATCAGGACTGCCAATAAGCCTGTGGTGACTGATGGAGATCAGGAGCTAACCAAACAGGCCCGAGCTTGGAATAACCTAGACTGGGCCCTTTACACTCACTTCAACCGTAGTCTGTGGGCACGGATAGAACAGTATGGCTGGAGCCGACTGCAACGTGCTGTGGCTGAGCTCCGGGCTCGAAGAGAAGCTCTGGCTAAACGCTGCCTGATGGGAGGTGAGGCTTTAGACCCCAAATACATCGCTGATGTGAGGCTCCGTCCTTTACAGTTTGGTTCAGCTAAGGTATTGGGCTATGTACTTCAGAATGGACTAAACCAGAAAGACCAAGAGGAATGTGAGCGCCTGGCTACCCCTGAGCTTCAGTATAAGGATAAACTTGATGCTAAGCAGTTTCCTCCTACAGTCTCCTTGCCTCTCAAGACTTTGAAGCTACTGCCCTCATAGGTATCAGACTACAAATTAGGACACATAGGACAGGTGGAGGACCTCTAGATACATCTATCTGTATTTCCCTTGGAAGGAACAGGAAGTTTACTCTAGGGTGAGACTGGCATTGTCTGGACTTCCTCTAGGAATCTCAGCAGCATCTATTCCCTCCCCCAACTCCTAACTTTGCCACTTCAAGCCTCAAGACAGATTCATGTAGCAGTTCCCCAAAGCCCCCTGGAGGGGCAAAAGATGAGAGCGACACAGAGAAAGTTTGGGGCATATGTCCATTTCTCTATGAAATATTTGTTATGGAGTTGTGTTGATTTCACTGTAAAAATATTTGTTGGATGAATAAATGCTATGAAACATTTACTTATTTTTTTAAAAAAATTATTAGATTTATCTTATTTTATGTGTCTGAGTGTTTTGCCAGCATGTGTAAATGTGCACCACATGCGTGCCTGGTGCCCACAGATCTCCTGGAACTGGAGATTACTGTGAGCCACCATATGGGTGTTGAGATCCAAACCCTGGTCCTCTGCAAGAATAGCAAGGGCTGTTAACTAAAGAGCCATCTCTCCTGCCCCGCTCTTCCTCATTCTTTGTTTTATGTAGGGCTCTAAAAAGGGAAGTGATGGTGAATCTTTTATTGAACAGAAATTAGGCTAGAAAGGGGTCTTTCTTCAATATTTCCTCAAGGCTGGGGATACAGCCGTTGGTAAAACGACTGGCTAGCATGAAGCTGAGGCTCAGGCATTCCAGTAACACATACACACACACACACACACCCCACCAATAACAACAACAACAAAATCCAGAAAAAAGACAGCTATGTAGCTCAGTTTGCAGAATGTTTGCCAAGCATTCATGAAGCTCAACGCCCAGCCCTGCATAAGCCAGACCTGATGGCACATACCTGTAATGCCAGCACTCCGGAGGACAGAGGCAAAAGGATCAAAAATTTGAGTTCGTCCTCAGCTATATAGGGAGTTTCTAAGGCCAACTTGGGCTACAGGAAACCCTGTCATAAAAGGAAAGAAGCATGAGAGAGAGGAAACAGAAAAAGAAAGAAAGTCGAGGAGGAAAGCAAGAGAGAGGGAGAAAAGAAAGAAAGGAAAGGAGGGAGGCGGAGACAAGTACAAATAAATTCTACCCAAGGAAGCCGGTCTGCTCTCCTTAAAGGTTCCTCAGCAGCCTGCATCCAGCCCTCATCCATGAAGCCCCGGAGGCCACGCCCCCTTCCTTCCGCTTCCGCTTTCTCTCCAGTCATTCAGCCCCGCACCCCTGTTCCGGCGCCGCTAGGTCTAGGTTCCGGGTTCGTTTCCCTGGTTTCCGGGCCAGGCTGGTGTGTCCGGCTGCTTGCCGGGTGGAGCCGCGGTTCTCCGGTGTCGGGACTCGCCGGCCGAGCTCCCACCGGTCCCGTGGCTCCCTGCCGGCCCGGTCTCGGGTCGTGTCGCTGTCTCCACCCAATGGAGTCCCAATGCGACTACTCGATGTACTTCCCGGCTGTGCCGCTGCCGCCACGCGCCGAGCTGGCCGGGGACCCGGGCCGGTACCGGGCGCTGCCCCGGCGCAACCATCTGTACCTGGGGGAGACAGTCCGCTTCCTGCTGGTGCTGCGCTGCCGGGGCGGCGCGGGGCCTGGCGTTGGGGGCGGCGCGGGCTTGGCATCCCGAGGGGCCTGGACGGAGCTAGCGACCGCCCTGGCCGCCCTGGCCTCGGTCAGCGCCGGAGGAGCGCTGCCAGGGTGCGGCAGCGCCGGCGAACAGGATGCTGACCCCCCGGGGGGAGGGGACCCGGGGGGCGGGGGTTTGTTTCGAAGCTGCAGCCCCCTTCTCACTCACGGCCCAGGCCCTGCTACCTCAGGGGGAGCGACCACGGTGAGGATCTCTGGGTGAAGAGCTGAGGGAAGGTTTGCTGGAAGCAAGAGAGGCAGTTTGGAGCATGGATTCCTTAGGGACCTGATGCAGGAGGCAGATGACAGCATTGTCCTGCCTTGCAGAGGGATCTAAGACAGGAGGAAGATGATATCCAGGGGCGGGCATAAACTTGCCCTGTCTTGCAGAGAAGTTAAAGTATCCTGCGTCTTTGACACCTTCCTGACCTCTTCACCCCTTTCATAACCCCTAGCTGCCTGTGGAAGAGCCGATTGTGTCCACAGATGAGGTCATCTTCCCACTCACCGTTTCACTGGACAGACTGCCCCCAGGGACTCCCAAGGCCAAGGTAGGATGACAAAGCTGGAGCTGTTGCCCTATAATTCAGATGGCATTTCAAGAGCACTCCACGTGATCGTGGTCCGATGGCTCCTGTACCTAGATTGTAGTGACCGTGTGGAAGCGGGAGGTTGAGGCACCAGAAGTCAGAGACGAAGGCTACCTGCGCTTGCTACAGACTCGGTCTCCTGGGGAGACTTTCCGTGGAGAACAGAGCGCCTTCAAGGCCCAAGGTGAGGGAGCTTGGAGAGGAGTAGATAGAGCGGGCCACATTGGAAGGGAAGGTCTGTGATGTGGAGCTCTGACGGCTTGCCTCATCCTCTCTCTGCAGTGAGCACCCTACTGACGCTGCTGCCCCCTCCAGTTCTGAAATGCCGGCAGTTCACTGTGGCTGGAAAACACTTGACCGTGCTCAAGGGTGAGCAGATCTGCTGGCTCGAGGAGTGAAGAGCAGCCAGGGAGTGGGTTGGAGGGCAGTGATGGGTCCAGTTTAGGTAAAGGTGGAGTTGGGGTGGGAGGGCTCTCACTACTCTGAACTGGGCTTGTTCCCCCTCCCTCCTACAGTGCTGAATAGCTCTTCCCAGGAAGAGATCTCCATCTGGGATATCCGAATCCTCCCCAACTTCAACGCCAGTTATCTACCTGTCATGCCTGATGGCTCTGTGCTGCTGGTGGACAATGTCTGGTAAGGTTTCAGGGAGGAGGCAGGGCTGTGGAGTAGTGGGGACAGAGATGGGACATGGCAAGCTCATGTCTCTGCCTTCCTTTCTACTGAACTAGTCACCAGTCTGGGGAAGTCTCCATGGGTTCCTTCTGTCGGCTTCCTGGTACCTCTGGCTACTTCCCCTGTCCACTCAGCGCCCTGGAGGAACACAACTTCCTGTTCCAGCTGCGAGGGGGTGAGCAGCCCCCTCCGGGGGCCAAGGAGGTGAGCTGGCGTGTCTACAGAAATGATGAGAACTGTGAGCACTGTTCACTTGAGTGCTTGCTTAGCGATCACAGAATCCTGGGTTCTACCCTCAGCATTGCGTAAATCCGGCATAGTGCCACAGGCCTGGGATCCTAGCACTTGGGAGAGAGCAGGAGGCTCAGAAGTTCAAGGTCATCCCCAGCTATATGAGGAGTTGGAGAGCAGTGTAGGCTGAGACCTGTCTCAAAGAGAACACAATGGAAGGGAAAGGCCATGAGCCTCTGAACATAGAAAGTCTCTCTTTGTCCCATCTGCAGGGTCTTGAAGTCCCCTTGATTGCCGTGGTTCAGTGGTCCACCCCAAAGCTGCCCTTCACCCAGAGCATCTACACCCACTACCGGTGAGTGTGTGGGAGACCCACCAGGCTCTCTCCTGCTCACCTCTGCCTAACACATACATCCAGCTTCCTCTCTTCACTGCTCCCAGCCTGCCCAGTGTCCGCCTAGACCGCCCCTGCTTTGTGATGACTGCTTCTTGTGAGTCCCCTGTTCGGACCTACGAGCGTTTCACTGTCACCTACACGCTGCTCAACAACCTCCAAGACTTCCTTGCTGTGAGGCTTGTGTGGACCCCGGAACACGCACAGGCTGGTGGGTCACCTGCCAGGCTGAGACCTTACTTATCACCTGGGAGGGACAGGGAAAGGAAGAGGCAGTAGTGCCAGCCCCACCTTAGTGGGTGACTTACAGTACCAGGATGGCTAGTACCTAGCTAGTCATCCAGGGTCACAGGTCAAGGTAGGCAGTGGGCAGAGACACTGGACCTATGCTTTCTGGTACAAGCTCGCTCTCTCTCTCTCTCTCTCTCTCTCTCTCTCTCTCTCTCTCTCTCTCTCTCTCTCTTTCTCTCTCTGCCCCCCCCTTTTTTTCACACACACACACACACACACTTACTAGCTCTGTGACCTTGGGTAGGTCACTTCATCTCTCTGAGCTTCTATCCGCTCTTAAGACTGAGTAAATAACATCTCATGGCTTGTTATGCATATTAATGGAGTTAACACACCATCTGGGTTAGAACAGACCACAGCACACAGCATTAACCATCGTTGCCTGTAACCCTCAGCAAAAGAGCACTTTGCAAATTAAACACTCCCTGTGCTGGTAAAGACTTGTGGGAGCTGAGGAAAGCTGTCCAGTCAGTGTTCATGGGTATGTGCTTCTGTCCCCAGGAAAGCAGCTGTGTGAGGAGGAGCGTCGTGCTATGCAGGCAGCCCTAGACTCCATCGTCTGCCACACACCCCTCAATAACCTTGGCTTCTCCCGGAAGGGCAGCGCGCTTACCTTCAGTGTGGCCTTCCAGGCCCTGAGGACGGGGCTCTTTGAGGTGGGCCCCGTGTTGGGTAGAGTAGTCAAGGCTCTTAGCTTCTAGAAGGGACATGTGTTAGGTCTCACTAGAAGGCTGGGCACGGGGAAAGTGGAAACCCAGTCCAACCTGGGCCTGAAGGTCTGCATCTTCCTACCCAGCTGAGCCAGCACATGAAACTGAAGCTCCAGTTCACTGCCAGTGTGTCCCATCCTCCACCTGAGGCCCGGCCCCTGTCCCGAAAGAGCAGCCCCAGCAGTCCTGCTGTCCGAGACCTGGTGGAGAGGCACCAGGCCAGCCTGGGCCGATCTCAGTCTTTCTCCCACCAACAGCCTTCCCGCAGCCACCTCATGAGGTAAGGGACCAGGATTGATATCAGTCTGACCAAGACGGGAGTTGGGGTCAGGAGCAGGCCACTGAGTGGGATGCTATACCCTCACAGAGCCAACCCACAGCCTCTGTCTTCTTCCAGGTCAGGCAGTGTGATGGAACGCAGGGCCATCACACCCCCTGTGGCCTCCCCCGTCGGCCGTCCCCTCTACCTTCCCCCGGACAAGGCTGTGCTTTCTCTAGACAAGATTGCCAAGCGTGAGTGTAAAGTCCTGGTGGTGGAGCCCGTCAAGTAGCACCAGTCTGCTGGCTCAGCTCCGGACATGCCAGAAACCCTAAGCCCCCAGAGGACTCCTTCTTCCTAGGCTGTGCCTCCCCCTGTGGGCAGAGGCCTTGCAGGGCTGCCTGTCTGTGTCTGCTAATGAGGGATGAGGGCAGAAGCTGTGAAATCGCAGTGTGGCTGCAGCTCAGCCAACAGTATTCCAGAAGTTCTTGGGGAGGGGAGGGCTGGCCCCGCCCCAGCAGGGCAAGGGCTGCAGGAGCTCCCTGAGTTTACAGAGTATTCTCTCATTCATTCGTGTTCAAGCCTCTCTGCCGCTGAAATTCCTTTGCACCCACCCGCAGGGCTGAGGTTAGAGGGTGCTAGTGGTAAAGGGACCCATGACAATGACTCTTCTGTCTCAGGGGTTGGGGACATAGCTAGGTGGCCTCTTTCTGCCCTTCATGTTTACGTTGGCAGCCTGAAGCACTTTAAGTTCTGTTTTCTTGTTTTCTGTTTTTGTCTGTTCCTGTAACTTATTCTCTTACTATATCTTCCAGCTGAAGTAAAACTATTAAAAGCTGTCTGGGAGAGAATATGAGTTTGTCTCTGTGTTGACCACAGGGGAGATGGCCTTCAGTGTGCAAACAGCCCTTCCTATGTGTGTATGCTTCTCTGGTTCCTAGTTCTACTTAACAGATGTACACCGCCACACTTGTCTCTAGTTGTCAGTTTTATGATGCCTGGTGGTGATCTTGGCCCACTGACTGAGGCATAGCTGTCTCCCTAGAAGGGTGATGATAGGCACAAGGTGTAACCTCACCCCCACCCAGACAGAGCATTCTGTGCACACATCCTGAGCTCTGGAAGGGTTGGACTTGTGTTTATTACGCACAAGGGAAGAAAGGGGAGCCCCCTAGTCATAGTTTCCCTTGTTCCTTAGTGTAGACATGGCTAAGCGTTTGTGCCTTGGGTGGGGGTCAGGAGGGAGGTGGTGAGCACAAGCCCAGCTCCAGCAAGGACAGTAGGAGACGGTGTCCCCCTGCCACAGGCCCCAGAGGCAGTCCTCTTCTCCATCCAGTGCCTTTTTAGCTCAGACATCAATAGGCTCCCGACCTCGGTTCTGCCTCTTCACCACAAATACCCTCTGTCCTGACACAGTCACCAACAGCGTGTGTTCACCAAAGACCACTGGAAAGGAAGGGAACAAGAGTTAGTGGGTACAGTGGCCACTGTGGAGGGTCACAACAAAATTGCCTAGAAGGGACAAAGCAACCCCTTCTCATCCTTACTGCTCTGTTCTCATCCTAGAGGGACCTAGTATGAAGGCAGTAGTTGAACCAAGGACTCCAGGAGGACTTGGGAGTCAGTGGAATGGAGCGAGGAATTCCTTCCCTGAGCAGAGAGGCCTCTAGAACCGGGCGCCCCCCCCCCCCCCACACACACACACCACCAAAGGCAGGAGCTTACCAGACAGGCGCTTGAAAGGGATGTTCGTGCCATGGTGCAGCCGGAAGCCACAGGCTGTGCTGACCAGCTCTGAGATGGCGCTGGCTGCCTGCTCATCGTTCTCAAGGTCCCCAGATGACTGCATGTGGATGAAGGAGGGAAGAAGCAAAAGAAAAAGGCCAGAGTTAGGAACAAATTCAAGTCACAGGACCTCCTATACTTGTTATGGTCTCCCATTTATACTTGCCCATAGTTCCAAATCACCCAGCTCCAGAAAAAGCTTACCTAAAACCCCTTTATGATGTATTGACCACAGGGGAGATGGCCTTCAGTGTGCAAACAGCCCTTCCTATGTGTGTATGCTTCTCTGGTTCCTAGTTCTACTTACAGACGTACACCGCCACACCTGTCTCTAGTTGTCAGTTTTATGATGCCTGGTGGTGATCTTGACCCACTGACTGAGGCATAGCTGTCTCCCTAGAAGGGTGATGATAGGCACAAGGTGTAACCTCACCCCCTTCCCTTGTGCCATCTTGTTTCTCATTCTGAAATACCAGGCTTCATTTGCAACTCTACTAATAGCCATAATGGGGATCAAAACCTAGAGTGTGATCACCAAGTGAACTATCACGTCCCCCGAGCCCCTTACTGAGGATTCTAGGCAGATGCTCTACCTCTCAGCCACACCCTCAGCCCCTGGGGATTCTAGGCAGGTTCTCTACCACTGAGCTAACTGCTCAGTCTTTGAAGATTCCACCTGTTCCCCAGTCTTCCCACTTGTCCTGTCTATAGGCTATGAAGCAGAAACACCCACTTTGTCTTTGAAGCTTTCCCTCTGGCTACTCCTTGGGTAAATGAGAAGACAGTAGTCCAGACTTCCTCTGGGCAGTAGAACAGACTGTTTCAACTTCCTCTTCCCACCGCTTCTAAATGGGCCCTTTAATAGGTTTAGTTCCTTTTGCTCTCAGTGTCTCCGTCTGTATACTGGACCTACATTATATTCTGCCCTTGTGAGTGTTTCATGAGAAAACAATGAGAGCATTATAACAAGGCCTACATAATAAATATTCTATAACCGCCATTAGTTATCTCAGTGTCTACAGTCAGGCCCTCCCCTTCACTACTTCCTTGGGCAGCTTCCTTTCTTGATGTCTTATTCAGGTGCCATGGTATTTTTCTGGTTTTCCCTGTCCAGAGTCCTACTGGATGAGTACTTCAGAAAGGTAAAGTACATGCAGAAATACTCCATCTAGTTATTGCCAACATATAGTAATACCTCTAAGATGTGATCTCTGGGCTGTAGAGACAGCTCAGTGGATAAGAGTGCTTGCTGTACAAACAAGAGGACCTGAGTTCAAGTCCCCAGCCAGGCATGGCCACACTCATACCGAGAATCCCAGCACTGTGGGTGTACAGGCAGGTTGATTGCTGAGGCTTGCTCAGGGCTGCCAGTCTACCTCCAGGTTCAGTAAGAGACCCTGCCTCAAGGAATAAGGCAGAGAGTTGTAAGAGTGGGTCTCTGATGTCCTACACTGGCCTCAGCACATGCATGGGCACACATCTGTGCAGACACTAAAAACATAGATAAAATGTCTTCTACCCTTGCTGCTCATTGCTACCAGTGCAGTCTCCTACTTAGATGGCTCTCCTGGGATAGTCATGCTACACCGATTCTGTGAGTCACGGTTATGTTTTAAAACCTTTTAAGTAACCCTCAAGATTTGTCCACAGATGTTGAAGCTCCAGCCGCAGGAAGTTCAGTATCAGTCTTACCAGAGCATCCTTCCTCTTCACACCTTCCTCTTCACACAAAACCACAGCCAACTTAGGCACTGTCACATTCAGGCAAGTATGTCCAGCTCCCAGCCCCGAGAGTTCTTCTCCTTGTTCACAACCCTCTGCCCTTGCAGCTCAGCTCAATTCCTGCCTCTAGAGAAGAATTGTTCCCACCCCCACCCCCAAAAAATTCTAGGGGCAATTACAGCTCTGAGTTTGAACACTTGTCTAACATGCACAGGCCCCAGATTCAATCACTGTGACAAAAAGTAGGGCTGGCTAAATGGTTCAGCAGGCAAAGGTGCTTGCTGCCAAGCCTGAAATAGATCAGAGCACTGAAGTGCTTGCCTCAATGCCTGATGACCTGACTTCAACCCTCAAGACCCACATGACAAAAGGAGAACTCACTCCAGAAGGTTGTCCCCAGACTTTCACCCACTGTGGAACCCATATGTGCCCCCCAACACACACGAGTTTTAAAGATATACCAAATAAAAACATACTGTAGGTGATCAGTTAACAACACAACTGTAACTAATTGTATGATTTGGTAAAGCTTTTTTTGTTTGTTTTTTGAGGCTGAGTTACATGTAGTCCAGGCTGTGATTGTACTTGATATGTAGCCAGAGATGAGCCTGAATGAATGTATAATCCACCTGTTTCCACCACTCAAGTGCTGGGACTACAGATTATGTGCCTCAGTGTTTGGTTTTATTCAGTATTGGGGATGAGCTACATCCCTAACCTTCTGGTAGTAAGCTTTTACACCATATATCCCAACACTACATAAAGCTCAGTATATGGCAAGCAGAAATAGACAACTAGGAAATATTTGAAGGGATGTCCGGGCTCTGTGTCCCCAAAGGACCTCCCCCCATCCCCACACCCCCAGCCCACCACCACATGCCTTGCCTTCCCACAACGCACCGCCAACACTGCACCTTCGCTCAGCACCAGGTAGCCAAGCTGGTCTGGGATTCGCTCCAGGCCTTGGGTCAGTGCGGAAGTCTAGTGGGTAAAAAGGCAAGGGGTGAGAAGCATGACAGCCTTGCAAACCCATCTTCCTCCTGGATATGAGCCTTCCAGACCCTTATAATGGCTTGTAACACTGAGTCTCCATCCACGGTCACTATTGAACCCCTGAGCTCTTCCACTTGTCACATAGGTGACCCAGGAGGCCTTCCTAGCCGCACAACCCCTCCTCATGGCCCTTCTCAAGCCAATCCCCTTATGCCCCGCCCCTTGTGCCATCTCGACTACTCCCCAGCCGCAGAACACCCCGTAGCGGAGCCTTCCTTTTCAGCCCTCCCTGTCGCCTCCCTCCCATCTCTGTCCCCTTTCGGTCCCAGGGTGGACCGGAGGTAACAGTGGAGTGCAAGCCATAAGGGGGCAACCGAAGCTCGGGGAACAGGGACGCAGAACCCCTGGCGTGCACACCCGCGCATGCGTCCTCACTCACCATCGCCGCCGTAGGTGCCGGAGACGCTGTCTACCGGATAGGTAGCTTCCGGCTCCAGGCTCGGGTCAGGTGGTTTCACCGGCTGACGCTAGCCCAGCCCTTCGCTTGCGGATTGGATGGCGGGTACGTCATCATACTTTATCAACCACTGCGGAGCGCCGCTTTCCGAACACATTCGTGGATTGGTTGCATTTCCCCGCCCCTCAGGAGTTGCCAGCCAGAGTGTCCGAAGAGTCCGAGAGCTTTTGGGCGGGGGACACCCTCATACGACCGTGCGCCGGTGGGTTCCGAGGAGAAAGTAGCGCAGTCCGGTGACGTAAGGGTAGTTCCCTGTTAGGTGTCACGGTTCAACCTGAGAAGAGAAACTAATGTACTAAAGTGAAAAACGATGGTTTACACGTGAAAAGCTGTTCACATGTTAACTTTCTGCCTTGAGTATATGTATACGAGTGAATAGACCCAAATATGACTATGAATGGGTAAATTAAATTTGGTGTATACACACAGAAGTATATGAACGATACAAGGGGATAACGTCCTGACACCAGGTGTAGCTTGAGAATCTCAAAAACAAGAGAAAGCAGGCCAGAGAGATGGTTTCAGAGACTACTCAGCCTTTAGAGGCTCAGACTCAACCAAAAGGACGGGTTGTGAAAGGCCAGACACATAAGGCCACATATTATGTGGTTTCGTCTATGTAAGATGCTTAGCTGATGCCGAATGCTGCCAATCCTGGTATAAATGCTGGGAAGCCAAGGGAGAGGGTTGCAAGTTCAGGTCAGACTGGGCTGAGCTACCTACCAGGACCCTGATTAAAACACCTATGCTTCTGGCAAATCCAGAAAAACTGAAAGCAATTAGTGGTTAGTAGTGGGGCAAGAGAAAATAGGAAGGGCTTGTTAATGAGGGTATTGGGGGCCAGGCATGTGATTTAAGCTTGAAATTCGTATTGAAGTCTGCATATCTTTGTGGATGTACGGAAGTTACTAAGTTGTACACCTTGAATTAGAAAATTTTAACATATGTGAATTATATCCCTCCCCTCCCCACTTATTTTCAATGCCGAGAAGCAAAGTCAGGGTAAGGTTACGCATGCTGAGTGAGGCTACATCTGATCTACATCCCTAGCACGAATCAGAGCCCAACAAAGAAAGTCCTCCACCCCAAACCATCTTGTTTTAGGAGAAGCAGCTAATTAGAGAAAATCTATGTCTTTAAAAATGAGGCTAGGCAGTAGCTGTAGCTCTGAGTTTGAACACTTGTCTAACATGCACAGGCCCCAGATTCAATCATTATGACAAAAAGTAGGGCTGGCAAAGTGGTTCAGCAGGCAAACGTGCTTGCTGCCAAGCCTGATAACCTGAGTTTCGCTAGGCCCCACATTGTGAAAGGAAACAACTCCCACAAATAGTCCTCTGATCTACACATGTGAGCTGTGGTACACATGGACACACACACATACATGTATATAATAAATTAATAAAAAATAGAAATAAAAAGCCAGGCAGTGGTGATGCATACCTTGAATCTCAATGACTTGGGAGGCAGAGGCATGCAGCTCTCTGAGTTCAAGGCCAGCCTGGTCTACAGAATGAGTTCCAGGACATCCAAGGCTACACAGAGAAACCCTGTCTTGAAAAACCAAAACAATAAAAATAAAAAAATGTAAAAGAAATGTAATTACAATATACAATTTAAATTTAAGTGGGTGTGGTGATGCATACCCATAATCCCAAACCTGGGAGTGAGGTGGAGGAACTTGAGCTACAGACTATTTTAAGTTAAATAGTGAGATAGTTTTTTTAAAAATTTTAAATTGGTGGAGGTTGTGAAGAGAAAGCTGTTCAAAGACACTAAAATATACAAGGCCTTTCCAGCCCTTAGATACTCATGATGCTTAGGAAAAATGTGGGTTTGTTTGTTTTATTTTGCTTTTGAGGCAGAACTTCATCTAACTTAAGTTGGCCTTGAGCTCTTGGTTTCCACCTCCCAAGTGCACAAGTTACAGCTGTGTGCCCTTACTGCTGGCTGGGAGCAGCACTTTTTTTTTTTTTAATTTATTACTTGAGCATTTTCAACTCTACACACTCATGTAAAATTCTCATTCACAAGCCCATCATAGCATCCCCTTAGCTTTCCTGTAGTAGCTCCACGTTGCAGATGGGGAAGTGCCGAGATCCAGCCTTGCTCCCAGGAGGGAGTACAGCTGGCCAGTGGCAGAGTTAGTTCCCACTGTCAATTGTACGATGCCGAGGCCGATGGTTTTTCCCTTGCTCTACAGACCAATTATGCAGTTCTCTAAAACTACATTTATGCAATTGGATTGCAATTGACTAAACCATTCAAGAACCGTTGGTGTTCAGTGATCAAGAAGGAAATGAGGGTCTAGAGAGATTGCTTGGTGGTTAACATACTGTGCTGACATTCCAGAGAACCCAAGTTGGCTCCCAGTAACTGTTCAGGCAGCTCACAAGCTCCTGCTCTAGAGGATCTGATGTCCTCTCTTTTGTGGCATCTGTGGACACAATTAACTGTCGTTGTTAATGGGACTCCATTTAGCATCACCAGGGAGACAGGCCAGAGGTTTCTCTGTGATGATGTTCTTGGAGAGGTTTATCTGAAGAGGGAAGACCCACTCTCAATGTGTGCAGCACCATCTAGTGGACAGGACCTCAGCCTGGATTAAAAAGTAGACTGTGCTAGGCTTCTTGACTGTGGATGCCATGTGACCAGCGGCCTTGCACCCCCATAGTCAGTCCTTCCCACTACCAAGATAAGCTGTAACCCTCAAAGTCATGATCTGAAATAAACCCTTCTTCAAGTGCAATATTTTGTCACAATCAGAAAATTAACTAACACACACACACTACATCACATTGACGAAGTTCTGCATAGCAAAGGAAATAACTAACAAAAAAATTAAAGATGGATAATATAAAGAGTGGGAGGAGGAGCTGGGGAGATGGCTCAGCAGTTAAGAGCACTGACTGCTCTTCCAAAGGTCCTGAGTTCAATTCCCAGCAACCACATGGTGGCTCACAATCATCTGTAATGGGATCCGATGCCCTCTTCTGGAGTGTCAGAAGACTGAGACAGTGTACTTACATACATAGAATAAATAATTCTTTTTAAAAATAAAGAATGAGAGGAAATAACTCAAACCATATATCTGGCATGGAGTTAATACTCAAAATATATGTCACTCAGAAAACAGTTTGAAGAACCATGTAATTCAATTAACAAGTGGAAAAGAAGTCAATTTTTTTTTTCTGAAGTGGATATACAAATACCAACAGCTGTTTCGTACAATTCAGAGGATGGTCTACACTAGCCAAAATTTTGGTTTTGAATGAATGACTTTATTAAGTATGAGAGAGACATACATACACACACACACACACACACACACACACACATGGGGAGAGAGGGAGAGAGAATGAGAGAGAGAGCGAGAGGCAGAGAGAGAGAGGGAGAGGGAGAGGGAGAGAGAGAGAGAGCACATCAAATTGGATACTCAAGTATACAGCAAAAACTACCTGAGGAAGCCCTTTTAAGACAACCACAGAGTCCTGGGCAGAGCAGAGAGTTTCCTCAGGAGAGGCTTCTAAGTAAAAGAACAAAAATCATCAAATTGGGAGCTTACAGACATCCATCAAAAACCAGCCTGGGGAGGCTGAGGCAGTTGACTGGAGTTGATTAAGCTCTCACCCCATGGCTGAGCTTCCAGCTTCTCTATAGCATTGCAGGCACAATTATGCCATGCATGAACCCTGGGGGTCTGTTGGAAATGGTTTACCTGGCAGCTGCTCTCAAGGGCAATTTGCTTTCTGGCTTGATTGGTTGGTTGGTTGATCTTGAGACAGGATCACACAAATGTAGACTAGGCTGGCCTAGAACCCACAGAGCTCCTCTGGTCTTTGTCTCTACAGTTCTATGATTGAAGATGTGTTCCACATTTGCTGACCGGTACAATGTTTTCACTCTTGATGTTCTGTTTGAAAAGACTGGAGTTTGCACAGGACACTCCAAGACCAAACTCTCAACACAAAGATTTATTTGCTCCAGAGGGACAAAGAGTGGGGATAGAAGACAAGGGAGAGGGAAAGAAATATTTGCCCCAGAGGGAGAAAGGATTGCCTCTGGATAAAGTGGAGACAGATGTAGTCCTTAGGCAAATGGCAGTTCATAGAGGAAAAAGAGGAGACCTGTGTTAGGATGAGTTGCTTTGTTTTGATTAGGCATGTTAGTTAGGGTAGCCAAAGGCAGGCTTTTGGTTGCTGGACTTTAATATTTTATTACCAGGCTGGTCTTGAACTCAGAGATCCACATCGCTCTGCCTACATATTGCTGGGATTAAAG